CCCCCTCTCCCCACTTTTGCACCCCCTCCCCAGAGAATGAGAAAATACTACTTGGAGGCGGAACTCTGGATATCCGATGAACGGAGAGACTCGATAGATCGTGAGGTACTCGTATGGCGATAGTTAACCCCCATGGTTGTGTTTTTCCTTTTTTTTTTTTAGATACATTTATTTTCATTTTTTCCTCCCTTTTACCCGTTGCCCCCCCGTGCTGTAATGGTAGTAGGCCCATTTAGATATATGATACAAAGAGAGTGATCTTGCATGTCTAAGAGTTATGAGAGAGTGAATTGAAGTTTTTGAAAGACGGTAACTTATAAGGAGTTGTTTTTCACACAGTCATGAGGAAAAGCAATTTGATTTTGTTCACGTGGTTTATCCATGCTTCACCAATCGTGAAAAAGATGAGGAATAACTTTATTTTTTCAGTAATGCTAAGTTCAATGTTTATGAAAATGTTTATTGTCTTCATATTCCCCACAAAGATAACAATTCAGTCAGTATTTATTGTCTTAAAGATTTTTTTTATCCATTGTAAAGTCTATCCTCTTTGATTATAATTTTACGAGCTACTAAAGTAAGTGAGAGTGTCATATCACGAATCCTCCTTATATCAACATTGAATATTGAAGATTTCTCGACTTTAATTCGCTCGAAAATAACTATTTGTTTCTCTTGTTCCTGTTAGTGCATGGAGTACATAATATTAATAGGAGTTTCTCAATAACAGACAAGGTGTATTACAGTTTTGTTAGTTTTGTGATGGAAATATCTTAGTGAAAGAATTATTGCCTTGATTCATACATGTTTTTTTCTATTTGTATTTATGTGTTATGTGCTTTTAAAGTTAATGTTTTTTATTATTATTATTAAAATAGAATTAGACTGGATGTGTTTGCATTAAATACTTAAGGTGTAATTAACAGAAGATGAGTTTGACCGCAACAGAATTGTGTACAGTTAAACAGCCTATGATTATGATAGCTAAAGAAATCCGTCTGCAGTTGTAAAGGCATCCATGGCCATTATATGTATATATTTGTGTGTTCTATTTTCATATTTGAGTATTTCTTTTCCAAATACTTAGAATGTGCATTTCATATCACATGAGGGTTATTATCTTAGTAGCTACCATGTATTAATTTTTCTCACATTCAGGCATTGTGAAGTGTGGTAACCTGCTAGCGATGATCAAGTCGATGTTCTATCTCGTTACGAATTATGAGCGGAAGGAATCCAATCTCATTTTTAGATTAGATAGACTTTGCTTCCCAGACTTCGAGATGGGCAGTGCTCTCCCAAGAAATGTTGAATTATCTGTAAAAAAAAAAAAAAGAAAAGAAAAAAAAGAAATTTATATTCTCCATCTTTTATTTCTTCTTCTTCTTCCTTTTCTTTTTCTTTTCCTTGTTCTTTCTTTTCTGAATTGCTCCAGTAGTTTCAGGATTTAAGGTTATCATTATTGTCTGTGAAGAATTTAAAAGGCAAAGGTGATACATTGATTATGATTAATGACATGTTGACAGTTTGCACATGATGATATTGGACTGTGTGGATGGTGAAAGGGTTCTTGGACTGTATGTCATAATTTGATATGTGCTGTATAGTCTTCAATGTCCTCTCACTCATGTCTTTCATTTTGTACGTTTTTATTTAAAATGCAGGGTTTTGAGAGTTTAGTCGTACCTATTTGGCAGATCCAGAAATTGAAAAAAGAGACTTGGGTTCTTCTTTTATAAGCAATTTTTATTTTTGCTTGTAAGTTCTGATTGTTTCTCGAGGGTGGGATTGTAAGCGAGCTCGAGTGAAGACGTTGAAGACATAGAAGACAACAGGGATACTGGAATGGAAGACGTTAAATATGTGAAGTCGTATGACCAAGCGTGTTGGGAAAACCTGTACATATTTTTTATATCTCAGGTAAAACATACATGAATAGATGCTTTTATTACTGCTCATGCAAGTAGAGCTTTTAAGCCATTCGTGTAAAAAAAAAGTGCATTTGAAGTCCGACATGGGGAAATCTATTTTATGCATAGACACAAGCATGATACACACGTCGAGAAGGGAAAGCAAGAAAATGTAAGCCAGCATACACAAAAAGAACGTAGCCTTTTTCATTACCATCTTAGGTAGCTGAAGTACGTGCCTGTGCTGTAGAAGAAGCTACCCATTATGCCTGTCGTGTCCCCTATTGCTTGTGTATTTTAATTGAATATTTTTGATTTATTGAATCCTTTACTGTGAATGTCCTAGAGTTTGATACAAGCTAAGTTTGCTGACAAAGTTTTTATGATATGAATGCATAACGACTGCATCCTCTTTGTGACTTTCTGATTGATTGGTTAATGCTTTACACATGCAAGGAGTCCCCAGAGCCAGCGGCAACCACACATGAAGATAGCCAGAGCTTCGAGCAGACTATCTCGCGCTTTGAGCTTCAGTTCTCCGGGATGATTTACACTCTGATGGAGAAGATCTCGGAAATGGGCAGAGACAACTACAATGATGCGCTGGTCAATGTGATTTATAGGTAAGCTTTGGACTTTTTTTTTATTTTATATTCATTGTCATTATTGTCTTTATTATTATTATTATTATTATTAT